TGCGATTCCTGTGTCAGGGCTGGGGCGGGGGCGAGCCGGCAGGGTTACCCCCAGCTTGGGCTGCTGGCGCGCAGCCGGGGCTTCGAGTGCTGGTGCTGTGCGTGCCACGTAAATCCCAGCCCACAGACACCGCTGGGGCACTCGCGAGTGTATTTGTCTGCAGGTAAAGGGGTAAGGGGCTGTGGGTTACAACCAGGGACTTTTTGGAACCAAACACGCTGCTGTTTTGCCCCCCAGCGCCCACGTGCCCTCCGGTGACAGAGGCACGCCTGCGTGCCACGAGGCTCAGCATCCATGCGGACGTCGCTGGGCAGGTACGGCCGGACCTCGCTGAACTTCACGGCAAAGCCAGCGCCCTCCCCGGCTTCCTCCACCGCGGCTCTCTGCAGGCGGGGGCACGAGAAAACCTGCTCGCTGCAATCGCGGTACGTTTCCCGGTGACCATCACCGGGTGCCCCCCGGCTTCACACGGGCACCGATGCTTCTCGGGGTGCTGCGGAGGTGGCCGGGTCCTTGCGGGCGGCCTCCAAGCAGAGGGTGGGGAGGATGCAGGAGGCAGGGAGAGGGGTCGGCGGCGTTGGCTTTGGTCACACTGCACTTCAGAACCTGCCTCGCCTTCTTCCTCAGTTTCTCCTCTGTCTCAGCCCACCTCTCCCTAGCAAGTAAACAAACAAACAAGCAGATGAAGGCTCGTTATGTGGTTATTTAGCATCCGCGCCCGCGACTTCACGTACGCCGCGGTCGGTGGCGGGGCGGTAGGAAGCCAGCCTCGCCTGTCCCCTGCCAGCTCCCAAACCTATTTCACCAGCGGCCTCCAGTCGAAGGCTCCCGCTCCGTCCTTCAGCCACTTCCCCAGCGCCCGGCGGTTCTGATCCGCGTGGTCCGAGGCGGCGATCTCCTGGAAGCGCTCACAAGCAGACAGGCTGGTAGGTGGTGGGGCGGCAGCCGCTGCCTGGCGGGGTATCGCCCCTCAGCCCGCCTGCTGCAGAGCGGGGGGAAATCCACCCCAGTGGGGGTGGAGGCCGTGCCCCAGGGCAGGAACGCCCCACAGCCCCGTCGGGCTGTGCTTCCCCTTGCCCAGGAACGCCATCCCAAGCGCCAGGGGCCCACAGCACAGCCCCATCCCCCGGGGCAGCGGGCTCAGAGCCCCCTGCCCAGCCTGGGTTTGGTGTTTTGTGCCAGAACCTTCCCGACAACTCCAGCTGGCCATGCCCTGTACGCGCAGATAGACATGCGTGGTGCTGTCTCTTGCTCTCCATTGCTGCACCGAGCTTTACTTCTCCCGTACTCGGTACTGAACCCCCCAGCAGCCCCTGAGCCATACAATCCCCCGCACGAACGACGGTAATTAATGGCAATCCCTGGGATTACGTTACACGTCCCTGGCTTTACAGTAATTGATGGCAATAAAGCAGTACAGTGCGAGCCGGTGTCGCCGGCAGCCGCAGCCCGGCAGCTCTGTGTTTACAGAGTATTAGCGCATCCGACACCGTTGCTTCTCGAGAGCAGATTGAAGTCGGCGTGGTCGGTAATACGACGTGGCAAGGAAGTTTTCAGGCCATTAGGGGTCCTGGCAGAGCCTCTCCCATAGGCGAGAGGAGTTGCTTCTGGTCTGTGAGACGTGCCTGCCAAAAGCCCTGCGCTCTTCCACTGATTTTGTCGCTTTTTTTCCCCAGATTTCCTCTGGAAAACTGCAGATTCGCCTCCTCGCCCCCAAAACCAGAAAACTGGCAGCCTCGGCACCTGGGCTTTGCCTCCAGAGCCGTCCCCAGCCCCCCC